CATCTAAAATTATTTTAAAATCATAATTTATAATTAATGAGGAAAACATGTTTTTTATGTGTAAATGCCATTTTTTAAACATTTATAATCGTATATTAATCAAATTTATTAGAATAATTTGCTTTTTCAATAATCTCAATTTTTTATTTATATTACAGTTAAAAACGAATATGGATAATTTTATTAGATATTGTATGATGGGAGCTCCAGTAAAGCTGAAGAAAGATGTGATTCCTTATATTTTTGACTGTCAACCTTATCGAGTAAAGACATTAAATAATCTTTTTCGACCTGCGTACAACAAATTAAACAGAAAAAGAGAAATTGCTCAGATTGTGTCAAATGCCGAAAACCAAAATAAAAATAATTTTCCAAGTACTAGTACTTCATCACAACAACCTTTACATAAAATAAAGAAAATTGAAAATAATCGAAATTTGAATACTCTTGACGAAACTATTTTTATAGATTTGACAAATTAGGTAAGTTTATACATCTTATTTGTAAAAACAAAAATAAAAGTTTATTTGAAGAGAAAGCGTGTAACAATTACTTTTAATTTACAGGAGGATACAGTTATATGTACAGCCCACAGACAACTTCAAACATTGCAAGTATATATTCAGAAAGGGCACTACTTATCTCAGAATTAGATTTGGATTCAAGAAATTTTGTAAATTTGATAATTTTAAATTGACTTCACCTTTAAAATTTATTTTAGTATATTTAATATAATGAATTATTTTATGTCCTATTTTAATTAAAATAAACTTTGTATACTTCTAATCAATTATATGTTACATTTAAAAAACCAGATTTTCAAACAAAGAAAATTTGTTATTTTTAAATTAAAAAATTCTTTTCAAAATATAGATTTTTTAAATGTAAAAGTTTAATTAATAAATATACAATCTAAATTTTAAATAAAGTCTATTTTTTATGATATCTTTTATTAGGATGCTTTTTATAACTTGCGCTATATACTTTTCTTATTTTATAAATAATTAATAAATAAACAATAGAATTTTGTTTTAAATAATACATTTGAACATGACTGTTTTTAATTTGCAGAATGATGTACCAACTATATCACAGTCTGTATGTAAACCGTTAACTAGTGAAATAGAAATTAAATCAGGAAATACTTCAGTTTTCATTGAATCAGCACACATTTCACCTATATCAACTTCATTGCAAATACATCCTTCTACTAAACCAGAAAATAAACAAAAAAGCTATTAAGTTTTGGCAAATCTCCAGTTTCTAAGAATACTACAAATCTTTTTCAACGAAGTGTTAGAGTGCAAGTATATACAAAATTAGTAAAACCTCATATTCGAAGTAAATCTGTCATGTGCAAGCCTTGTATGACTGATGCATCTTGCCAATGCCAAATACAAATAAGCAAAATATGTTCACCATTAAAGTGATTATTTAAAACACCAGCAGCAGCAAATTATACTTCATCCAATTCAGAAGTAACTATTTTAACAAGTTCAAATGAGTACTTGTATCAATACTCATCTTCTCTTTGTGAATATAAATCCTCATCAAGTTGCAGTGAGGAAAGAAAAAAAAATGAGAAAAAAATAAAAGCATCAGTTAAATCTGTTTAATCAGTTTAAATATAACGAGATATCTCATTAGTATACATGCAAAAAGATATATTGGAATTGACAACGAATGGTTGTGGATAATTGATTTATTACATTCTTCAACTACATGCAATATTGATGACATCAAATTAACTTTGATGA